ACAAATGATATATATGGATTCCATATAATATCCCAAGGACCGGTAGTACAAGTCATGAGCTACTAAGACTGGATTATTACAGAAACTGATATGAAATGAATATAACTTCTGTATGAAATGTACATAAACAAATTCAACTCTAAAACTACCCAGGGACAAGTGTTAGCCACACCCGGAAGGCACAAATATTTTCAGAGTCAACTCCCGTCATCTACTGCAGCTCCGCTCCAAGATCTGCACGCAAGGTGCAGAATTGTAGTATGAGTACAATCGATCCCATGTACTCAATAAGTATCTTGACTAACCTCGGTAAAGTAGTGACGAGGCTTTTTTTGTTAAAAGATAGTCATTGATATAACATGTGCAAAAGACTAGCAATAGAACAATACTAGAACATAACCGAAAAGAGTATAAGAAATAAACATGCGAAGCAGTAAATGATTGCTAGAAGAAATCATGATTTATATTCCTCAATATCACGATCAATCCTTTCCTTAGAGCGATAACCAACAAACCACAGTAGTAAATCCATAACTTTCATAGTGTGAGAAATGTACTCAAGATATCAAACCAAATGACACAGTAACACCCTTCGTGCATTTATCTAATCCTCACAAAATATTCGCATAACAGTACCAATCAGGTGAATAAGATACCAATAACAGTAATGCCAAAGTGGATATACATAAGTAGCAATAATGAACAAGACAATACATATAGACAAAGGTAACAGACTAGGTAGAAGGCATAGAAGTAATGACATCAATTAGAAAAGGAGAACATAAAATTCACTAACTAACATGGTAGAAGGCCTAGATGTACATATAACAAAAAGAGGGAAAGCATGATCTTTATGACCTAACAAATAGAAGGCATGAATAACTAACATAGTAGAAGGCTTATACGAAAGTGCAACAAGTGAGGAATGGCATAGATGTAGGTATGGCAAACAAGAAGGAAAGACATGATATTTGCAAGTTAAGCAGCTAGAAGGAATGGATAATACAACTACAATTGAGGTAAAGGACAATGACAGAACAACAACGACAAGTCATATAGAAAACGTAGGTGCAACAGTAATAGCTCAAGATAAAAGGCTTGAATATATACACAAGGAAAAGATATCACAACATAATGCATGCCTCTCATCCTCGCCTGCACGGAAACACCCTTCGTTCCATGAACGCATGATAATATAAAAACATGATAATGTAAATAAATGGCACGGAATCACCTTTCCTGCTTTTACTCCTTCTTCACATGATAATGTAAATGAAAACATGATAATGTAAATGAAATGGCACGTCATCACCCTTCGTGCTTTTACTCTCACCTCACATGATAATGAAATGAGATCATGATAATGTAAATGAAATGACACGGCATCACCCTACGTGCTTTTACTCTCATCCTCACATGATAATGTAAATGAAATGGCATGGCATCACCATTCGTGCTTTACACTCTTCCTCACATGATAATGTATATGCAATGGCATGGCATCACCCTTCGTGCTTTTACTCTCTTCCTCACATAATAATATAAATGAAATGGCACGGCATCACTGTTCGTGCTTTACACTCTTCCTCGCATGATAATGTATATTCAATGGCACGGCATCACCCTTCTTGCTTTACGCTCTTACTCACCAAGAACATGTATATCAAAGACAAGCAAGGTAAGAAGCATGAATAACATCAAGGAGAGTGATTAAATGAATATTCCAAAAGAACATCAATCACATCTTTCAAGCCAATAACAAATTAATAAACCTCAAGAACTTTATTGTCCAAATATTTTAACAAGTCTCAAAAATGATCTTCAACACAAGTATATGATCTCAAAATTAACGGTCATAGCGATTTATTAGTGATTAAGCATAGGGATGACCGAATTTAACATGTAAATGGTTTCACAAAAATTTATCAAATTTTAATCAAGTTATAATAAGCTAAATCTTGGTTTCTAGCATTTAATTTCATATTCATAGTAATCTAAGAGTTAAGTAAGCCATGAAACAAGAGTGTCACGTAATTCTACAAGGCACAAGAAATCGTATAATTTACCCCCGAGCATGATAAATCATGGCACATGCATATACGTTCGTCTCCTCATATATGCATCACCCCAAATGTAGCAAACAATGGCAATTAGCAAAAAAATCCCCCAACAAAGTTGGGCAAGACACTTCCCTCAAACAAGCCAAATTGATACACTAGAAGCGCCATCCCGCTCAAATCATCCTCCGAACAGCTCGAAACTAGCCAAAAGCAACTCAAAATCATCAAATAATGCCATAGGAAGCACACCCAATCGATAAAGGTCGAATCTTTACACATCTACTCAAAGTCAACCAAAAAGACAAACCCGGACCCACACCTCGGAACCCAACAAAACTTATAAAATCTAACAACCTATTTATTTACGAGTCCAACCATACCAATTTCACTCAATTCCGACTCCGAATCGATGTTCAAAACTTAAAATTTTAATTTAGAAAAGTTTAGATAAAAAACCTCAATTTCTCTTTCGAAATCATCAATCAAATGCCAAAAACGAAGATGGAATCACGGAATATAATCAAAACCAAGTAAAAAACACTTACCCCTATCTCCGTGGTGAAAATTGCCTCCAAAATTGCTCAAATCCGAGCTTCATAACTCAAAATATGATAAAATGAATCAAGATCCGATAATAGAGTACTTATAACCACTGAACAGAAATACTCATCGCGATCGCGGGAATCCCTTCGCGATCGCGAAGCACAGACGCGACTGCCACCAAATTACACTTCACGTTCGTGGCACGTTCCTCGCGAACGCGACTCACAGTTGACTCAGAATTTCGCGAACGCGGCTCACTCTATGCGAACGCGATTAAGAAGGCCTCCAGCTCCAGCACCCAGTTCACACTATGCTATTGCAATCCAGCATTCGCGCATGCAGAAAAGACTTGCCCCAACTCCGCGTGAATGCAGTCGACCTGTCGCAAACGCTCTGAAGAATATCCCCCAGTTCCATAAATCACTACGCAATTGCAGCCATTTCTTCGCGATCGCGAAGAATAGTAGAGACATCAGAAACTAGCAACTCCAAGCCAACTCGGAATGATCCGAAAATCACACGAGCCCCACGGGACCCTGTCCGAACATACAAGTCCCAAAACATAATACGGACATGCTCGACGCCTCAAATCCACATAACAACATCAAAACCACGAACCGCACCTCAAATCGAGCTAAATGAAATTTTTGAACTTTCAATTTTCAAAACTTGTGCCGAACCATATCAAGTCAACTCGGAATGACCTCAAATTTTGCACACAAGTTCCAAATGATATAACGAACCTATTCCAACTCCTGAAACCAAAATACAAACCTGATGTAATCAAAGTCAACTTCCAGTCGAACCTATGAACATTCCAACATTCTAATTTGCCAATTAACGCCGAAACTTTCAAGAAACATCCAAATGCAAATCCGGGCATACAACCAAGTCCAAAATCACCACCCGGACCTAACGGAACCATCAAAACTCCAATCTGGGGTCAAACATGCAAAAGTCAAACATGGTCAACTCTTCCAACTCAAAGCTTCTAACATGAGAATCCTTCTTCCGAATCAATCCCGAATCACCTGAAAACTAAAACCAACGATTGACACAAGTCATAATACGTCATATAAAGCTACTCAAGACTTCAAACAGCCGAACAGAATGCAAATTCTTAAAATGATCGGTCGGGTCATTACAATAAAATTTTGATAAGTGAATATATATTTAGTAAAAATTAAAAAAACTGATAAACATATGATCTATTATAATATTCTAACGGGAGAATTTGCTTAGTAACACATGATAGTTATTTTCTTAGTCGTCTAACAATAATCTTTTGTTGACGTGTGCTTTCAAGGTTAACTGAATTTAATAATCAAACATAAAAATCAGTATGAAACCTAAACCATATGTTAAATTTAATTTTAAAATTATCAAAAACTATTTCAAAATTGAAAAAGATAAAAGAATTTAACAGATCTTGAAATAAATATGAAAGAACAAAGAGATTGACGTACTTCAGTAAAACTTGATAAGAAAGTGATGATACAACCTATTTTAAAGTAAATAAAAATGAATGCAATTCATAGTTCTATTAAATATTACTTCTCGTAAGAGGATCACAAATATTTCTAGACACTTTCTAAAGAAAATTCTATATAAACCTTAAAAGTATATACAAAAATTATATATTTATATGTCGGTTTGGTTCGAGTTTTTTTATTCATTTCCAAACAAAATTAAACCAAACCTAATCGGATTTTGTAATTGATTTGATTTGCCTTTTCGATTTGATGTGATTTTTCGGTTAGGTTTGAACACCCCTAGTTGTGTGTGTACAACACGGGTTGATAGTTATTTTTTTTCAAAAGAAAAGAGAATAAATAGGTTTATAAGAAATATGGCATTTATACAGCTGCCCAGCCCAATCAAACTGCAAAGTCTGCCATCTTTGTAGTTCCAAGTTGCTGGATAATTTATTGCCAAAGTTCATTTCAACTCCCATTTACATGTATGTAAAGTATTTTGGTGTTTTCCAATTTTATACCTTTGCTTGTAAATGAATTTTATCCGCTGATTTTCCATGTCATTTCACTATTTAATCTCAATCATAAAGTTAGAAAATATCACTATTCCACACAGTGATTGTTTTGCTTCTTTCTTTTTTTCTACTCTTTTTAATTCCATTAAAGGAGGGTAGGATGTTAGTTTTCATATTTTTTCTCTTTGTATTCTCATTGATATTAGTTTTCATATTTTTTCTCTTTGCATTCTCATCCTTTCCCTTTTTCTTAGATTGTAAACACTAAAATAAAGAGCTCAACAGATTGAACAATAATCTGTAGTAACAAAAACGGAATATCTGGAAGATCAAACCATGGGATTCTCCAAAAAGACTAGTTTGAACTTTTTCAATAATCGCAAAATCCTGAGAGCAGCTGCCGCGCATAATTTGAAACTCGTGGAATGAGCCTCTATTCTCCACTTAAATATCAGATTTTTGTTATATGGCAGAGTTCAAACTTGTGGCAAACGCGTAACTCACATATCAGCAGTAACAATAAACGTGAAATTGTTAAAACACACAAAGAGAAAACGTAGGAACAAGAATCCATGTCAAACACACAACATGGAAAGAGACTTGCTTTTTTCAGCTATCTGTACAGTATGCAGTTAAAAGTTGTGTTGTCTTTCTCTATTGAGTCCAACAGAAAACATGTCTGCAATCAACGTAACGTTCACTTATTTCTCTTGCGAAAGTGGGATCAAAATGCTTCTTCTGCCTATTTAATTTCCAAACTATATTGGCACCCATTCATATCACCTACAACAATAGAAATGTATCAATATATAAAAATCCAATCCAAATAGAATACTAAGAAAGCTAATCCAGATTCCGCTCGATCAAATACTCTGCTTACATAAGCAGTGTTCGTAACCCGAAAATCACTATAACCAGTTTCCTGCTTCCTAGCTATATTACAAAGAAAAAGATAAAGAAAAGCCAAGCAGGAATATCATGTTAACCACAAACCGCTTGTATTGGGTAACACTTCAAAAAAGAGCAGATCACTTTGACTTAAAATGAAGCATTCATTTAATGTTATTTAACAAAAGATGATTAGTTTAAGTTCTCACCAAGCTTAGGGACACTTCCTGTGGACAATAATAAAGGACCATATTCATCAAACTCGCCCTTTGTTATACACATCTGCATCACGGATGCAGATGTTAGCTGCTAATTCCCTTGAGCTTAATTAAAAGAGTTAACAATACATTGATTGATTGATTAGTGAGATAAAGCAAAAAGAAACTAACTTGTTCGAAAGTACAGAGAGAAGCTAGAATTGATCCTCCAATCCAGGCAACATACTTCCTCTCAGGGGGTGCAACAACCTTGATCTTCATGCCGCTTGGAGCAAGAACGGTGATTTCCTTGCTCAGACGTTCTGCTATGCCAGGAAACATAGTTGATCCACCACTTAGCACAATGTTTGAAAATAGATTTTTCCTAATATCAACAACGCATCTCAAGATTGAGTTGTAGGCTTTTTCATGAATTCCTATCCCTTCCATTCCAACCAATGACGGTTGGAAGAGGATTTCAGGGCAACGGAACCTCTCAACACCAATATTAATGACTTCACCATCAGGAAGCTCATAGCCCTTCTCAACTGATGAGATGTATTTCTTTGCTTCCTCAATCTCTTTTTCAAAATCCAGTGCAACATAACCAGTTGTCTCCTTCATACGACAAAAAACATCTCTTTCAACCCTATACTTAAATGTGTAACCACTCTCGTCGAGAATCTTTGCAAGATAACATGTAAGATCATCACCACCAAGATCTAACCGCGAGATAGCATGGGGAAGTGCATGTCCCTCATAGATGGGGACAGTGTGGCTCACACTATCACCAGAATCAACCACAATACCTTGTTGGGAAGCAACGAAATTAGTGACTAATCAAATTGGTAGAGAGAACTAGAATATGTTAGTGTTCCATCTACAGCTTACCAGTTGTACGACCACTAGTATACAACGAGAGAACAGCCTGGACTGCAAAATAGATGGCTGGAGCATTGAATGTCTCAAACATGATTAGAGTCATTTTCTCTCTGTTTGGCTTGGGGTTAAGTGGTGGCTCAGTCAGAAGAACGGGATGCTCCTCGGGTGCAACACGGAGCTCATTGTATAATGCGTGATGCAAGATTTTCTCCATATCATCCCAATTTCTTACTATGCCATGTTCAATGGGATATCTCAGAGTCAAAATACCTCTTTTACGAATAGCCTCATCACCTACATAGGCATCTTTTTGTCCCATCCCAACCATGACGCCAGTGTGACGAGGACGACCAACTATACTTTTGAAAACAACCTTTGGAGAATCATCCCCAGCAAACCCGGCCTAAAGAAACAAACGACACATTTATGATTCATTAGCAGGTCACATAGGGAGCAAAACAGTTAGCACCATGCATGGAGCTAAAATTGTAAGCAGTTTTTTCTAACTAACCTTGCTCGTTTTAGTTCCGTAGTCAATAACAAGTGGTCGAATATCCTTCCCATCAGCCATCTTGTAAGGACATCAAATATTTCTTTTGCAGATTCAATTTAGGTGTGAGATCACTGGTACAAATATAGAGTGAAACTGAAAACTGTTCACAAAAATCAAGTGTCTGAGAAAATTCTTCTTTTATATATTGGTTGATTCTCTTTTTCATCTCCCTTCAAACTCAAAGTCTGCTAGAGATTTTCATATTTTTTTTTGTAGAAGTCCAACAAGAACAACAAGACAATAGAAACAACATAGTGAAAACAAGTGCGGGATTCATGCCCAAAAAAAAAAAAAAAAAGCACCCCGCAAAGGGAAGGAATAACAAAGGTCAAGTGCATTGGGAGTTCATTCAAGCAATTATAAGATATCTCGCTCATGTTAAAAGTACAAAACATAGATTTTCCAAAATCTTAATTTTCCTTCCTGCCTATAAAGAAAGAGAAAAAAGCTGAAAAATAGCTCGGTAGAGAAGGGAAGTAGGTAGGATCAATGTTCCTTAGTTGGGAGTATGGAGATCAATAATATTTTTCCTTTGACCAAAAAAAAAAAAAAAAAGAATCACTAAATGTAAGAAAATATATATAAAAAACGGCTGTATAAGAACTAAAATTAAGAAAACATGAATAACACANAACTAATTATGTGATTGGTGGTTAGAGTAGTTAGTGGTGAATGATTAGTACACTAGTCATATACAATGTATATAAGTAGGACTTGTATATTTTTTATTCAGTTTTTACATAGTGGAATATACAATCATTTTCAACTCACATGCTCTCTAATGAGTTCTTCATTCTAGAACCTTCTTGTTCATCTTCTTCTTAGCTCCAGTGATCTGATCTTTGAGCTTCATCATGGTATCAGAGCCCAGGGGCTAAATACACGATCGTTGTGGTGGATATCTTCTGTTTCCTTAGAATCATTTTGTTGCTGATTGTTCGAATTTTTCTTCAATCAGTTAACCTAGTTTCTATTTTTTGATTTGCGATTTGCGAATCTATAATTCCTTGAATTTGATAGTAAAATCAGCTGAATCTGTTGGCAATGGCTAATGGAGAAGAAACTTCAACTAGAACAAGCACAACAACGAACATAGATCATCATCATCCATTGTATTTACAGCCATATGATACTCCAGGTAGTTCCTTGATCTCTATTCAACTAACTGGATCTGAAAACTATGCATTGTGGAGTAGATCTATGAAAATAGGTCTAATTGGTAAGAGTAAGCTAGGATTTGTTGATGGACGATGTACTAAGGATAAGTTTGATCGATCCTTGCATGAGCTTTGGGAGAAGTGTAATGCAATAGTTCTGTCATGGATTATGAATGCTGTGAGCACAGAATTACTTAGTGGAATTGTCTACAAATCTAGTGCACACAAAGTCTGGACTGATCTGAAGGATAAGTATGATAAGGTAGATGGATCTCGCATCTTCTTCCTGCACAAGGAAATTGCAACTTTATCGTAGGGAATTTCCACAGCTTCTGCATATTTCTCCAAATTGACAGACCTCTGGGAGGAATATGATGCCTTGATGCCCTGCCCTGGGTGTGACTGCCCAGAATCTAAAAGCTATTTTTAACATTTGAGTATCAAAGGCTGCTGCAGTTTCTTATGGGGCTAAATGAAACATATAGCCAACCTAGGAGTTAGATATTGATGATGAGCCCTGTTCCTACAGTTAACAAAGCATATTCCATGATAGTTTCTGAAGAAAGCCAAAGAGATTTGGGAAAGTTCTCTTAGTCTATAGACATTGGAGATGGAACAGCACTATTCACCAACAAAGGCATGAATTCAGGAAACAATTATAAACCCAGAAGAGGACATCTATTCTGTGATTACTGCAACTATAAAGGACACACAAGAGGCACTTGCTTCAAACTGCATGGTTATCCAACTGATTTCAAAATGAGGAAGAAGACAACAGGCTTTCCTCAAAGACCTATGGCCAATGCAACCATACGGGAGGATTTTACAACAATCAATGACAAAGCAGGTGACCAATACAACTACACAGGAGGCACAACAAGTGATCAACACATCTGCTGCAAATGTGGCACAAGGAGGAAGGCCAATCATGTTTACTCAAGAGCAATATGACCAAATATTGAAGCCGATCAGTACAGGGACAGGTGAAAATGCAAGTTTTGCAGGTACATCTAAGACCTTTGTTACAAATGAAAAGATTAAAGATGAGAATTGGATAGTAGACTCTGGTGCAACCAACCACATGGTTCACACTAGAGAGCTACTTGACAAGATAAACACAGATTTCCTAGGCAATGCACCAAAGGTATATTTACCTGATGAAACTTCACTTGATGTTGAATGTACTGGAGAGAGTAGAATTGGTGAAAACAGTACTGTTAAGAATATTTTGTATGTTCCAAATTTTAAATATAATCTCTTGTATGTGTCCAAGCTCACAAGGGATTTAAGATGTTTTATATCCTTTTATCCTGACTTCTGGATAATGCAGGACCTTCACAGTGGGAAGGTGAAGGGGATTGGTAAGGAACTAGAAGGTTTGTACAACTTGCAGCATCAGAAACTTGAAGCCAAGGCTGCAAATGTACATCTTCAGAGATCTACTGCGCAGGAGGAGGACTTAAAAGTATAGCATGGAAGACTTGGACATGCTCCAAATAGAGTAGTGAAACAAATTCCAAACATGAAGTTCAAAGCTAGTAGTGATGAAATAAAGGAATGCACAATCTGTCCTTTGGCTAGACAAGGCAGATTGCCTTTCCCTAAGAGTACAAGTAGATCAGATAAACCATTTCAATTGATTCATGTAGATGTTTGGGGTCCATATAGAGTACAAACTCATAGTGGACATATATTTTTCCTTACCCTGGTAGATAATTGCAACAGAATGACATGGATTTACTTACTACGGCTCAAGAGTGATGTGGTTGTATGTTTAAGACAATTTTTAGCCTTAATAAAGACTCAATTTGCTGTGACTGTGAAAGTTATAAGAAGTGACAATGGATCTGAGTTTTTCAATTCTGAATGCCACATTTTGTTTCAATCTTATGGAATGATTCATCAGAGTTCATGTGTTCACACCCCACAACAAAATGGGGTAGTGGAGAGGAAACAAAGACACATACTGAAAGTGGCCAGGGCTATTAGATTGCAAGGTTATTTGCCTTTCAAATTTTGGGGGGAATGTGTGCAGGCAACCATCTATGTCATAAACAGGTTGCCTCTATCAGTGTTGTCAGGAAAATCATCTTTTGAGATGTTGTATGGAAGAGTGCCATCTTTAAAGCATCTGAGAACTATAGGGTGTCTATGCTTTGTTAAGGTTGTGGGAGGAAAGGATAAGTTTGCAGCTAGATCTGTTGTAGCTGTGTTGATGGGATATTCATTATCCCAGATGGGATACACACTGTATAATATTTTAACTAACTCTTTCTTTGTAAGTAGGGATGTCAAGTTTATGGAGCATATCTTTCCATTTCAACTACTTAAGGAAGGAAATTTGCAGCTTTTCCCTAATGGTGTACTGCACTATCCAGTCACTACTGATGCTGTTCCTGTGCAGATCAACACACATGATGATGATGCATCCCTTTCAGCAATGCCACCTGTTGCAGACAACCACACTGCTGATACACAACCTTCATTACCACTTCCTTTATTCTCTGAAGACACTGCAGCTCAGCCATCACCTCCTTTAGAATAGGATGCACCTGTTCTTGTGGGTCCTTCATTAAGGAAGTCAGCCAGGACTACTAATGAGCCTGTGTGGCTACAAGATTATGTCTGCAATGGTTCCTTGACAAGGTCAGAAGGGCAGCAGCTTTGCAAATACCCAATGCATAACTATTTGACTCATGCAGGTTTCTCAGTCAAGTATCAGTCCCATTTGTCCAAAATTACCAGCATTAGAGAGCCTTTGACTTATGAGGAGGCTGCATCAGACCTCAAATGGCTTGATGCTATGCATCAGGAGTTAAATGCACTCAAGGACAACAGGACCTGGACTATGGTAGATTTGCCAGCAGGGAAGACTCCTATTGGATGCAAGTGGGTGTTCAAGGTAAAGTATAAGGCCAATGGAGAGGTTGAAAGGTACAAGGCACGGCTAGTAGCTAAGGGTTACAATCAAATAGAAAGCCTAGACTATCAGGAAACTTTCTCCCCTGTAGTCAAAATGGTGACAGTCAGGGTAGTTATAGCTTTAGCTGCAGCCAACAACTGGAATTTGCATCAAATGGACGTTTATAATGCATTTCTCCAAGGAGACCTCACTGAAGAAGTATATATGTGTCCACCCCAAGGATTTCCCAGCCAGGGGGAGAAGGTGTGTAGGCTGCACAAATCTCTATATGGGTTAAAACAGGCTTCAAGGCAATGGAACCTCAAATTAACTGAGGCATTGCTAAATTCTGGTTTTGTACAGAGTCACTTTGACTCACAAAGAAGCAAGGAACAAGATTAGTCATAATCTTGGTATATGTAGATGATCTCCTCATAACTGGGAATGATCAAGCATTGATTTCTGAGGCAAAGACCATGCTACGGGGTAATTTCAGGATCAAGCACCTAGGAGAGTTGAAGTTCTTCCTTGGGATCGAGCTAGCAAGGTCCAAGGAAGGAATATTGATGAACCAAAGAAAATTTGCAATAGAGTTAATCACTGACCTTGGATTGGCAGGCTCAAAACCTGTGACTACACCAATGGAATGCAACCAAAGATTTACTACTGTGGAATATGATCCACACTTAAACTTGAAAGAAGATGAAAAGCTGGTAGACTCAGAGCCATATCAGAGATTAGTGGGAAAGTTGATATATCTTACTATGACTAGGCCAGATATATGCTATGCAGTCCATGTATTAAGCCAGTTCATGCATTGTCCAACGAAGTCTCACATGGAAGCTGCTATAAGGGTTGTGAGATATATCAAAGGAGCACCAGGCTTGGGGTTGCTGATGAGTTCCAAACAGTCCTCTAAGTTGACAGCATTCTGTGATGCTGATTGGCATCATGTCCTGTTTCCAGGAGATCAATAACAGGATATGTGATGAAATTGGAAAATTCTTTAGTGTCATGGAAGTCCTAGAAATAGTGCACAATCTCAAGAAGCTCTGCAAAGGCAGAGTATAAGAACATGGCAACAGGAGTTGTAGAAATATCATGGTTGACAGGACTTTGCAAAGAGCTGGGTGCTGAAGTTGAGCTGCCAGTGGAGTTACAGTGTGACAGCAAAGCAGTAATTCAAATTGCTGCAAACCCCATATTTCACGAGTGTACAAAGAACATAGAGATAGACTCACACTTCATCAAAGAGAGGATTCAACAAGGGATTGTCAAAACCAAGTATGTGATGTCTAAAGACCAAGAAGCAGATTTGTTCACAAAGGCACTTGGAAGATCACAACATGAGTACCTGATGAGCAAGCTAGGAGTGCTCAACTTATTTGTACCACCTAGCTTGAGGAGGAGTATTGAGGAGAAGAGTGACACATGACTGTCACGTGAGCTAGTGTAGTTAGCTGGAGGTTAGTTTTAACTAATTATGTGATTGGTGGTTAGAGTAGTTAGTGGTGAATGATTAGTACAACTGTCATATACAATGTATATAAGTAGGACTTGTATGTTTTGTATTCAAATTTTACATAGTGGAATATACAATCATTTTCAGCTCACATGCTCTCCAATGAGTTCTTCATTGTAGAACCTTCTTGTTCATCTTCTTCTTAGCTCCAGTGATCTGATCTTTGAGCTTCATCACAAACCATTGGATTTCTCAGAAGGGAACCCTCTAATCTTAATTGGATGAGGAGACAAGTTATTGGATAAATATAAGGAACTTCTATCAAAAATAACAAAAATTTGAATTAGGTTAAAAGAGACCAAAAGTAAAAAGTAATGAAACCAAAAAAAATAAATTATAGGGTAACATTGCAGTTGATAATTTGGTGCACTGCCTTTCTCTAACGAAAATTGTATCCGCAGTCAACAGTCACTTATTGTCTTGCCGAAGTGGAGAAAAATGCCTCTTATGTCTATTGAATTTTCAAACTATATTTGCATCCATTCGTATCGCCTACAACAATAGAAAATTTAAGTATGAACATATTCTGTGCTAGTAAACTGATAACAAATGAGTATAACATCTTCAAAGCCAAATAAAAAACAATTCCGAACGCAAGTAGAATACCCTTCAGAAATTCCACAACTACTCACCGATATATTTTCTTGCAATTATTGTTCACAAAGGATAGCTAATCCACATTCCTCATTACTGAAAAGTTTGCTTATATAACCAGCTGCTCTTAACCCGAACAGAAATATAGAACAGAAGCATTAGTCATGGACGATCCACCAGTTTCCTGCTTACTAGCTAAATTACAAACGAAAGAACAAAGCCACGCCAACCAAGAGTAGCAAAAAACTGCTCACACGATTGGGTATTACTTCAAAAGAGAAACAGGTCAGTGTGACTTAAAATGAAGCATTCATTCGAAGGAATTGTTACATAAAGAGGATTTTAAGTTCTCACCAAGCTTAGAAACACTTCCTGTGGACAATAGAGGGACCAATTTCATCATACTCGCCCTTTGTTATACACATCTGTATGGGACGTAGATATTAGTGCTGTATCACTTAAGCTTTAAAGAGTTAACAAGAAGACCTTCATAGTTATTTGAGACTTGGACTAAACAGATTTGATTTATTGATCAATAAAATAAAGCAAAAAGAAACTAACTTGTTTGAAAGTACTGAGGGAAGCTAAAATTGATCCTCCAATCCAGGCGTTGTACTTCCTCTCAGGTGGTGCAACCACATTGATCTTCATGCTGCTTGGAGCAAGAGCAGTAACTTCCTTGCTCAGACGTTCTGCAATGCCAGGAAACATAGTTGATCCACCACTAAGCACAACGTTTGAAAACAAATCTTTCCTAATATCAATATCGCATCTCATGATTGAGTTGTATACTTTCTCATGAATTCCTGTTGCTTCCTTTTCAACCAATGATGGCTGGAATAGGACTTCAGGGCAACGGAACCTCTCAGCACCAAGGGTTATGATATTTCCATCAGGAAGCTCATAACCCTTCTCTACTGATTTTGAGAAATTTTTTGCCTTCTCAATCTCTTGTTCAAAATCCAGTGCAACATAAGCAATCCTCTCCTTCATATGACGAATAATTTCCAATGCAAAGGCAATGCGTGATAAATAACAACCCTCCTTGAGATTCATCACAATATCCTTGAGATAATTGGTAAGATCACGACCACCAAGACATAAACGCAAGATAGCATGGGGAAGTGCATGTCCCTCATAGATTGGGACACTGTGGCTCACACTAGTCCCAGAATTAAGCACAATACCTTGGAACAAACAGTAAAAGATTTAGTGACCGATTAAAACATTAGAGAGCCAACATATGTTGGTGTTCCATCTGCTGCTTACCAGTTGTACGACCACTAACAAAGAGAGAAAGAACAGACTGGATTGCGACACATGGCTGGAAGCCTGGAACATTGAATTCCTCAAACATGATTTGAGTCATTTTCTCTATTTTTCGCTTGGGGTTAAATGGTGCCTCAGTCAGAAGAACAGGATGCTCCTCGGGAGCAACAACGAGCTCATTGTAGAATGTGTGATGCAACATTTTCTCCATATCATCCCAGTTGTTTACTATACCATGCTCAATGGGATATTTCAATGTCAAAGAACCCCTTTTAGACATAGCGGCATAACCAACATAGGCATCTAGTCCCATTCCGATTATGACGGCAGTATGACGAGGACGACCAACTATGCTTGGGAAAACAGCCCTTGGAGAATCATCCCCAGCAAAACCTGCCTAAAGAAACAAACGATGCAGCTATTGTTCATTAGTAGGTTGAGAGTTAACACCATGCATAGAGCTGAAATAGCAAGCAGTTTGTTCTAACTAACCTTGCTTATTTCAGTTGCATTGTCAATAACAAGTGGTCGACTATCCTTCCCATCAGCCATCTTGTAAGAACTTCAAATATTTATTTTGCAAGTATAATTTAGGTGAGAAATCACCGCTACTAAACAGAGTCAAAGTGAGCTTTTCACAAAATCAGCTGAGTCTGCGAGAAATTTCTTCCTTTAATACATTGTTTGATCATGCTCAAGGTGAGATATAGTTTTGTATTTCCAGTAGAAATCACCAGCTATTCACATTAACCTCCCCTTTGTCGACTAAAGGCAGAGAAAACAAGTAAGGAATTCATGTAAAAACCTCCCAAGGGGAAGATGTAATCACTTGGTGGAAGGCAATCATGCTAAAGAACTTACCCGAGTATCACAAAAAGTTACTATGTGCAAATATATAACATATGTAAATCGGCTGACTATTCAATTTGCACGAGCAATGCTCAATCAAGAGCCAAACAGAAGATTACATATCTTTATTAAATTTGCACGAACAATGACCAATCAAAATAAAATTTGTCCTACATAGGAGTAAACAGGCAAGAATTTCTTCACACCAAAATAATATAAGCTGCTTTTATAGAAAAAATATTTATCTTGTAAATCCTTTTAGCTCGATCACTTTCCCCCTGAAATCCAAGGAATAATTCCCGAGGGATCAATAGTCCCATCAATATGTGGTTTTCCCTTTTCTACACAAATTTTTGAACAAAATCTTAACGCGTGCTTAGTGAAGACACGTATGCGAATAATTAATCTGAACCAAATTACCGATTCGGTTACACTGCAAACAATTCCATATATTGTCAGAAAGCTCTCATCGAAAACGTGTTCAGCAGGTAATTGGGAACAGAAACCACATGAAATCATCGAACAATGTATCAAATTGAATCTAAAATCAACTAAATCAATACTCAGATACCCAAAATTTAGTAAACCAGTTACAATCAACAAATCTTTTAGCAACAAATAACGAATACTGAGCACCGAAATAAAAGTGAAACAGAGGTCAGGAACAAGTTAAACACTGAATTCGATCGATCACTGAAGCTTACCGTTTGTGGAAACGAATCCATTGCTAGTTCAGTATTGAGAGTGTAAGAACAAGGTAGGACCTTTTCTAATAAACAGGGGGAAGGTTTCCTGCATTTACACAAAATCAATTGATGCGGACATATATTTTCATTCTGCTAACACCTTTTGATTTGGCGTAACCGAGGAATGAGAAAATCTAGGATCCAAACATAATGCTACCGAACCGTGTAAAATTTTAAATGTAGATCATAAGTTGTTTCAAAAATATTTATAAAATCATATTATTTAAAATTTAAAAGGTAATTGCGGGCAATTCTATTTAATTAATAGGGCAAGCTGTAAATGAGATTAATGATAAGTAACTTTTCGAATAAATTAAATGTCATGACCCAAAACTCAACATGTTGTGATGGCGCATAACACATAACTAGGCAAGCCGACAATCACAATTAACTGCGCAATTTATATATTGAAAATAAGACGAAACAAGTTTAAAATTAATAACTCTCATAAATAGCCGATAAGAAATACTGCGATTCAAATATAACATTGCAAATTCTGGGTGCCACTGAGTACATGAACATCTAATGACAATACAGTCTAACTGCTAAAACAATTGTTTAGAAAAATAGAACAGTGTTATAAATCGAAAAGAAGGAGAGTCGAGGTCTGCGAACGCCAAGGCAGCTACCTCTATAGTCTCCAAGCAGATGAAGCTCTAAAATCTAGCAACTGTCGTGCCCAGAAATACCTGGATCTACACACCGTGTGCAGAGTGTAGTATGAGTACAACCGACTCAATGTACTCAATAAGTAATAGCACTAATTTTGGGTTGAAAGCACTGACGAGCTCATATAGGTATAGTCCAAATTCAGATAATAACAGTAATAACATAATGAAAAATCCAATAATCAGTTTGCGGCGTACAGCCCGATCCCATAATAATTGTTGTTACTCTATTTTGCCCTCATATTTTCCTAATAAGTATATATACTTTGAAATATCATTTTACATCATTACTTAATTTGCAAGAATTGTACAAATATTTTCTATAATTTTTCATAATTTTTTTAAAGCTTTAAGATTGATTTTCTTGCATTTTAATTACTTGAATATGCATTAATTACCCATTAAATTGTTTTATGATGGCTTAATCATCCAAATTTATTATTTGCATTCACATATATATTTTTTAATATTTTACCTCATTTCATATAATTATGTTTGTATTTTTAAGCCATTTACATGATTTTTGCAATAACAACCTATATTCCATACATAATTATATTTATTATATTATTTATACTAAAATAGTATTTTTATATTTTTATAATGTTAAATTATTATTTTCAAGCATCTTAATACACAAACAATATTTTATTATTTTGTTAATTGGTTTTTTAAATAATTTGTTTAATTTTTTTCGTGTATTTAATTTGTAGCCTTATTTGGAGCCAATTCTGGACCAATTTAATGGCCCAAACGTCCAAAAACTCTAAGCTCAATCTCCCCAGCCCAAACCAAACGCCCCCTTTAACTTTAGCTCGGTTGCGACTCGTTAAACCACCCCGCCCCGCTCGATTTTTAATCTTGGCCAAAGATCAACGACCCACAACTACTCTACCACTTTTAATTACCCAACCCCAAACCCTAATCCCCATTTCCTAAGACCGCCGCCCCCCATTTCCTTCATCTCTCCCCCTCCCTCCTTCAGAAACCCTAGCCGTCTTCACCAACCTTCTCCGAACTCGATTAATTCATGGATTCCTGCCATGATTCACTTACCTTTTATGGGTTATCTCGCTGTTCCTTACAAGACTATGGTATTACATAGTACTTGCCCCATTTTTGGCAAGTACCAATCTTTCGAGTCAAGAGAAATCACACTCGCTCTTCAAGATTCAGACGATTTTTCGTCTATATACATTTATGATAATATTATATGGGTTTGATTCACCAAGATTCTTCGGCCAATCTAAGATTCTGGGCAGAACTACGGTTTGCCTGATTTTTTCTCCTAATTTGGTTCTAAATCTATTTTGCATACTCTTCTTTCCTTATTTTGTGTTTGATTGATTATATTTCCTTGTTTGTTTGTTCAATTTCCACTACTATATAAACCCCACCCCTAATCCCCTTTAACGGACCTCATTATTGCTATTACTCTTACTATTCTCCTCTTTCACTCGCTCACTTATTCTGTTATACTCGAATATTTTCTGAAACTGTTGAATCTGGCCAGCTGAAAGCCACGACCATAATACTAATAAACGACCTCATCCAGTGCTCGGAGCCCTTCTCGAGGCTCTTGTGAACTCTGAAGCATCGGGGATTTGGGGTTTCATCATTCTCCAGTAATCGCAACCATTCCTCATATTTTGAGTTCCTCAGTCTTTGTTTACTTTATTTGCAATTGGTTAGTACTTTATACTTTTGTAATCTTACTTCCCTCTGATTGTGTTATGTGTATTAGCATTATTGGGGTTCTTTCGAGTTTAATGATTATGCCACTTCATGCATAGACATGCTTGTTTTGATGCCTTCCTGTAGTTTTAATTCTGTTCTAGTCTTGATTTTCACATAGTTAAGCTCAGTTGATTCATGACTTGTTTGATGTTTAGTGCATCTTGTTCGGATTTCCTGAAAACTATGTCATTGCTCAGAATTGCTTTCTTCCCGTTGAATCCCTTATACATCTCCTGTTGTTTCTCTACAAATCATATGATGACACTGCCTAAATGCTTAACCTAATGTGCTCTTCCTTGATATTATTAGCCCTTAATGCATGCCTATTGTAGATGTCCAACCTGATTGATTGCTTATCTTCACGTTTAAGTGTAATTGCTTACTTAAAGACGGTTGCTTATCAGGAACCCATGACTTAGAATCTCTTAAGGAACTAATACATCCCCAGAAGTTATTATAATGTGTCTTTGCTGAGCCTTTCGTGCACACTTTCTATTTCCCTGGAATCAACTTGTGATTATATGAATTCTATATGCCAATAGTGTTACCATTCCTAGGAAGACTTGTTTTTTTTGCTTTGATATTATGTGCTCACTGATCGTTTAAGACTCCTAGGGTAAAAACCAACATATGTCTAGTCTATTTCTCCTTCTGTTGACTAAAATAAGTCTCATCCTTCTTCATGTGATGCATGCTTGCCTTATTAACTTGAAAGTCAGTCTCTTCCCATGTTAAGGTGGTATCTCACCTGTTCTTGTCCATGGCACTACTCGGTTTTCATGCTCAAACCCCTACCTAAAGGTCTCTCTAATATAGTTCTGGACGAGGCTTGTTTCTCAAACTTTGTTTGAAATAATCCTGATGCTCTCAAAATCTGTTTTTGGCGTGATAAGCATGAACTTGCCTCATATGTGTCTTGTATGTTTCCCAATTTGAGCATGATCTTGCTTATATGCCCTGATTAGAATAGTTGCTAGTTGCAGTTTACGATTAATTTTGTTACATGTATGGCTGAATTTAGCATCCCTTAGCTTAATCATTGGGATCGTTTGGGCTTGCCTTTTTTCTTGAGGTTTCGAAGTATACTGTCTGCGCTTGGAGTTTGGGCCTGCTGTCCGCATAAAATCCTAATCCTATTTGAAAACAGTAATGTATTGTTGGGTTATCCTTGTTGATACCCAATTTTTCCCTATATATTTTTAAATATGCATAAATACCTTCAAATATATATATGTATATATATATATATATATATATATATATATATATATATATATATATATATATATATATACACACACACACACACATACATACATACATACATATATGCATATAAGCATGCACAAGGTTTTTATAATTTTTCCCATAATTTTAAGGATTTAAATTGATTTATTTTCTTCCCTTTTATTCATAAAATCCCAATAACTATTTCCTAAATTATTGTTAGGATGCTTTATTCATTTAATTTCTATATTTATACAAATATGTGGTTAATAAATGTTTTATGGATTTTTATAATTACATTTAGTATTTTTTTAAGTTTAATTGCATATAATTACAATGTTAGCCCGTTTAAAGTATAATTACATTTTATATGCCTAAAAATTGGTCCATATATTTTGAAAATGACAATTATATATTTTAAATCATTTTTGGTATAGAAAAATTTTGTTTTTAGAAAACTATTTATTATTTATTAAAATTAAAATTGGGAAAATTGGCTATTTAAATCATAGCCAGATTTGGCTTTCAATTTTAGCCTAATTATAACCCAATCCCAGCCCAATCCTAATCAGATTACCAGACCCAGGCCCCAATTACCCCTACCCGACCCAAAGCCATCTCAAATCCTGGCCGTTGATCTTTTAGATCAACGGCCCTAAACCGTTCTTACCTTTTTTAATTCATACACCCCCAACCCTAAATCATTTTCTAAATCCGCCGCCCTCAAATCCTCTCATCTTCTCTCTTCTCTCAACCTAATCCTAGACTCTGTCAATCGCCTCCCTTCTCCGGTCATCTCCGACGATCGCCTTTTAACCCCAAGCCTCTAATGGTTTCCCCCTCGCCTTGCTCATCATCTCTGAGGACTTCAAGGGGCCTAGGCCATGCCGACTTGTGTCTAGGGTTGCTGTTTTGGTTGTTCATGGCTTCTCCGGTGTGATTTTGGGCAAAATCACACCATATTTGTTACGATCTTTGAAGTTTATAACAGGTTCTTCCGTTTCTATTTAGGTTTCCTTTGAAACCCTAACTTTCGTTTGAATCTCTTAGATCTGTGAAATTTTTAACGATTCAAGTCTGTTTCTTTCTATGTTCTTCACTGGTCTCAACCTCTCTTAAAAATCATCAACTTTAAGTCGTTTTTACTTTCTTTAAAGTTAGGGTTTCTCGGAGTTTCTTCTACACTTGTTTAAACTAATTTTTCTTTATGTTTAAACCTCTATCCTTGCTTATCTCGACTGATTCTATATTCTTACTGCTTTTTAACTCGCCTATGTTAAAAAGCCCTAATTTCTAAGACCTTCTTTGTTGGTTCTGTGTGTTAGGCTGTTAGCCTGATACTTGATTCTTAATAAGCTTCTGTGATTACCGTGCTTTGAATGTGACTGAGTCCTTAGCCTACTTATATAAATTCTGAGTGATTGTGTTCATCTTGTTTGTTCATCTCTTGCCTCTTTCTGTCGATATTGCTGGCCTTGCATGTTTGCTACGTCTGTTTGATCTTCTCTATTTACATGTTGAAGTATAGAATCATGACTCCCTCT